ATGAATGGGCCTGTTTGAAAACGTAAGAAATGGGCTTCGAAGGCTGTTTTCATGGGCATCTTGGAGGTATGAATCAGTGTCTTAGACCCCTGGCATACTCTACATTTATGGTTTTATTAGCCTGTTAATTGTGCCACAAATAGTATGTGCTACATGTGTAGCTGATTTATGGTGCTACGAAGTGGCAAACTAGTTGCAAAGGTTTTCCACAAAACATATGGAACATCTTTGTGCCTTGTGCATATAGCACCACGAACTGAACGTCTAATGTGCTCCTTCTGATGCGGACAGTCAGCATGAGGGGTGGGGGTTGGCATTGGGACTGGGATAGTCCTGGTCCTATTGCCAAAAATGGGCTGCGGAGGGAGGGAGTTGTAAGGTTCCCCCCCACCAGAAACTTGGAAACCCCTGTACCCTGCAGCCTTCCATGCCTCGCCCCACAGGCGCTTGCCGCACATGCAATTTTTTAAAGGTCCTGGTACACCAGCAGCCTCTCTCTGATCCCAGGATCTCCTTGCTCTGGGATGTCTAAAACTGCATGTATAGTCAAACTTCATACACAGTCTTTAGATGTCTGTGGGGCTTTGGGAGAGGGGAGAGGCTTCAGGGTCCCAGCAGGGAAGTCCAACGGTTTGCAACTGCAGGAGTCACTTGACTGCGCCCCAGGCTCCTTTCTAGCAGTGGCTTAATTGGGATCTGATCCCCAGTCACAAGAATTGCCCCTCCTGACATGCGGCATGTCTGGAGGCATGGTTGTTGGGATTAGGGATCAGATCCCATCACGCCATTAACTGAAAATCTGCTGGCCCCCTTTTAGTTGCAAATGAGACAGGCCAGGCTGTGAAGCTCTTTGAAAGTCAGGTCATGTAGTTTGGTGTGATAGAGAGGGGAGACCTGGTTAAAAGGAATGACCCAGGAAAAGAGTCTTTACATTAGGACAATAGACACAGAATAAACTAACACTATTGCAATGTTGGGGTCAAGAGTATTAGGGGAATTGCAGATTGTAAGTAAATTGGTGAAACCTGCAGTGAGCACGCTTCCTCCATGGGTCTTGCACAGAAACTTGCTTGAGGTCACACAGGGTGTCAGTGGCAGGGCAGGGAATTGAACCTGGGTCTCCTGGCTTCCAGGCTAGTGCTTTTTTTCCAGTGGACTGTTTCTGAAGAGAGAGTGAAACGGCATTGGTCAAAGCCAGGAAGGAGCTTGTTGCAGCAATGCAAGGTATGATGTGATGACAGTTGAGTGCATTGCTTGGTGGATGAATGGGAAAGGCTGCATCTTGAATGATACGCAGAAAGAATCAGCAAGAATCAGGTGGAGGGTTGATGTGCAGACCTGGGGAAAGGTGGAGTTGAAAATGATGCCCAGGTAATGGGCCCGAATAACTGGCAGGAAGGGGGTGTTTCAGATTCCCCCAGGCAATGGATTTAATTCACTCCTTCATGCCTATGATATACATACAACACACTTGAGAACCGTTGCGTTTATAGCCTATCTGAACCAGTTTTTTGGGTGAACCAACTGACTTGTTGTTTTTTTCCTCTTTTCTTTCAGATTTTCTATTTTGTACATACCTTGTTTTGTATATACTGTATATGATGACTTCGGTGGGCAGTGAACGTACCCGGGGCACTCGGGACAAGACGCAGATTTCAACCACACAGCCAACACAACCACAGAAACAAGTAGTACAGGTACGTGCTGCATAGCCTCTCTCCAGGTTGAGTAAGATTACAGTCAGTACCCGCTCTATAGCTTGGTAAAGGCTGAGAGTGGGAGCACGAAGAGAAGCCTTGCCTTCGTGTAGAGAATGTATCTGATTGCTCGTGTTTTCATGCTCTTGGGGTACTGAGCAAAACTGCCTGCTGGCTGGGCCCCTGAGATCCACACAAATCTTGTGTTCTTCAGGAGATTGGTCTCTACCCTGGTGCTAGGATTTTGGCCTGAGATATTCTGACATCCTCACAAACTTTAGCTCTTTCAAATGTGAGACTCGTGATGCTAAAGGGTCTCTGGTTACTGTTAGCACCCCTAGTAGGTGGTAATGGCTTTTCTCAGTGACTGAGATGAGTGTCTGCAGCAGGACCCAGAAAGCCGGCCGCTCATGAGCAAGTCTCCCCAACCCACAGGCAATCCAGAAAGTTTTTGGAGAGTGCTGGGGACAACTTCCTGGTGCAAGTGTTGGAGAGGCCAAGTAGGGGCCATGCTCTTCTTGAGATGTTGCTCACAAACAGGGAAGAATTGGTGGGGAATGTAGTAGTGGATGGCAGCTTGGGCAGCAGTGACCATGAGATGATTGAGTTCAGGATCCTGAGGAAAGGAAAGAAGGAGAGCAACAGAGTAAGGACCCTGGACTTCAGAAAAGCTGCCTTGGACTTGCTCAGCGAACTGATGGACAGGATCCCCTGGGAAGCCAGTCTGAGGTGGAGAGTAGTCCAGGAGAACTGGCTGCACTTCAAAGAAACTTTATTGAGGGTACAGGAACAAATCATCCTGATGTTCAGGAAGACTAGCAAGTACGGCAGAAGACCGGTTTGGCTTAGCTGGGAACTTCTTAGTAAACTCAGTCACAAAAAGGAAGTTTATAAGAAGTAGAAACTTGGACAGCTTGGGCATGTAGGGATGAAGTCAAGAAGACCAAAGTGCAGTTGGAATTCGAATCATAGAATTGTAGAAAACGAGAGTTGGAAGGGACCTCAGGAGGTCGCATCTAGTCCAACCCCCTGCTCAAAGCAGGACCAGCCCCCAACTACATCATCCCAGACAAGGCTTTGTCTACCCGGGCCTTAGAAACCTACAAGGATGGAGATTCTACCACCTCTTTAAGTAACCTGTTCCACTACTTCACCACCCTACTAGTGAGAGAGTTTTTCCCAATATCCAACCTCAACCACCTTTGCTGCAACTTGAGCCCTTTGCTCCTTGTCCTGCCATCTGCCCCCACTGAGAACAGCCCAGCTCCATCCTCTTTGCAGCCCCCCTGCAGGGAGGTGAAGGTGGCTATTCAGCCCCCCTCAATCTTCTCTTCTGCAGACACAATCAGTCCAGTTTCCTCAGTCTCTCCTCACAAGATATGTCCCCCAACCATTTTCATTGCTCTCTGCTGGACTCTCTCCAGTGTGTCCACATCCTTTCTGGAGTGAGGGTGCAAAACTGGACACAGCACTCCAGAGGTGGTCTCACCAGTGCTGAATAGAGGGGAATAATTACTTCACTTGTTCTGCTGGCAATGCTTCTATTAATGCAAGAGCTGGAGCTAGCAAGGGATGTGAAGGGTAATAAAGGTATCTGCAAGTATGTCAGCAACAAGAGGAGGATCTGGGGAAGTGCGGTTACTTTACTAAATGGGGGAGGCAACCTAGTGACAGAGGATGCAGAAAAGGCTGAAGTGCTCAGTGCCTTTTTCACCTCAGTCTCCACAGGCAAGGTCAGCTCCCAGATTACTGCACTGGGCAGCACACTTTGGGGAGGTGAGCAGCCAACAGTGGCAAAAGAACAAGTGAGGTACTATTGAGAAAAGCTGGACACACAAAAGTCCATGGGGCTGGATGGGATGCACCTAAGGGTGCTGAGGGAGTTGCTCTATGCGATCGCAGAGCCATTGGCCATCATCTTTGAAAACTCATGGTGATCGGGAGAGGTCCCGGACCATTAGAAAAGGGCAAATATAGTGCCCATCTTAAGAAAGGGAAGGAGTATCCAGGGAACTATAGACTAGTCATCTCAGTCCTGGGAAAAATCATGGAGCGGATCTTTGAAGAATCCATTTCTTAGTACTTGGAGGTGATTAGGAACAGTCAGTATAGATTCACCAAGGGCAAGTCATGCCTGACCAACCTGATTGCATTTTGTAATAAGATGACAGCCTCTGGATGCAGGGAGACCAGTGGGTGTGATATACCTTGACTTTACAAGGCTTTTAATGTGGTCTCCCACAACGTTCTTGCAAGCAAGCTAAGGCTGTACGGGCTGGATGAGGGGACTGTAATGTGGATAGAAAACTGGCTGGATCATCGCATTCAAAGAGTAGTAGTTAATGATTCGATGTCTAGTCAGCAGCTGGTATCAAGTGGAGTGCCCCAGGGGTCAGTCCTGGGGCCGGTTTTGTTCAATATTTTTATCAGTGACCTGGGAGATGGGGTGGAGTGCGCCCTCAAGCAAATGTGCTGATGACACCAAGCTGGGGGAGTAGATATGCAGGAGGGCAGGGTTAAGCTTCAGAGACACCTTGATAGATAGGAGGATTGGACCAAAAGAAATCTCATGAGGTTCAATAAGGACAAGTGCAAAGTCTTGCACTTAAGGGGGAACAATCCCATGCACCGGTACAGGCTGGGGACCAACTGGCTAAGTAGCAGCTCTGCTGAAAAGGACCTGGAGGTGACAGTGGACAAGAAGCTGAACAGGAGCCAGCCGTGTGCTCTTATTGCCAAGGAGGCTAATGACGTCCTGGGCTGCATTGGTAGGAGCGTTACCAGCAGACCAAGAAGTGATTCTTTCCCCTTTATCAGCACTGGGAAGGCCACATCTGGAGTCCTGTGTCCAGTTTTGGGCCCCCCACTACAGAATGGATGTGGACACATTGGAGAGAGTGCAGTGGAGGGCAATGGAAATGGTTAGGGAGCTGGGGGACAGGACTGGTGAGGAGAGGCTGGGGGAACTGGACTGATTTAGTCTGCAGAAGAGAGGATGGAGCTGGACTGTTCTCAGTGGGGGCAGATGACAGGACAAGGAGCAATGGGCTCAAGTTGCAGCCAGGGGAATTGAAGTTAGATAATAAGAAAAACTTTCTCATGAAGAGGGTGGTGAAGCACTGAATCAGGCTCCCCAGAGAAGTGGTGGAGTCTCCATCCTTGGAGGTGTTCAAGACCCGGGTAGACAAAGCCTTGGCTGGAATGATGTAGTTGGGGATGGTCCTGCTTTGAGCAGGGGATTGGACTAGATGTGACCTCCTGAGGTCCCTTCCTACTTGTTTTTTTCCTCTTTTCTTTCAGATTTTCTATTTTGTACATACCTTGTTTTGTATATACTGTATATGATGACTTCGGTGGGCAGTGAACGTACCCGGGGCACTCGGGACAAGACGCAGATTTCAACCACACAGCCAACACAACCACAGAAACAAGTAGTACAGGTACGTGCTGCATAGCCTCTCTCCAGGTTGAGTAAGATTACAGTCAGTACCCGCTCTATAGCTTGGTAAAGGCTGAGAGTGGGAGCACGAAGAGAAGCCTTGCCTTCGTGTAGAGAATGTATCTGATTGCTCGTGTTTTCATGCTCTTGGGGTACTGAGCAAAACTGCCTGCTGGCTGGGCCCCTGAGATCCACACAAATCTTGTGTTCTTCAGGAGATTGGTCTCTACCCTGGTGCTAGGATTTTGGCCTGAGATATTCTGACATCCTCACAAACTTTAGCTCTTTCAAATGTGAGACTCGTGATGCTAAAGGGTCTCTGGTTACTGTTAGCACCCCTAGTAGGTGGTAATGGCTTTTCTCAGTGACTGAGATGAGTGTCTGCAGCAGGACCCAGAAAGCCGGCCGCTCATGAGCAAGTCTCCCCAACCCACAGGCAATCCAGAAAGTTTTTGGAGAGTGCTGGGGACAACTTCCTGGTGCAAGTGTTGGAGAGGCCAAGTAGGGGCCATGCTCTTCTTGAGATGTTGCTCACAAACAGGGAAGAATTGGTGGGGAATGTAGTAGTGGATGGCAGCTTGGGCAGCAGTGACCATGAGATGATTGAGTTCAGGATCCTGAGGAAAGGAAAGAAGGAGAGCAACAGAGTAAGGACCCTGGACTTCAGAAAAGCTGCCTTGGACTTGCTCAGCGAACTGATGGACAGGATCCCCTGGGAAGCCAGTCTGAGGTGGAGAGTAGTCCAGGAGAACTGGCTGCACTTCAAAGAAACTTTATTGAGGGTACAGGAACAAATCATCCTGATGTTCAGGAAGACTAGCAAGTACGGCAGAAGACCGGTTTGGCTTAGCTGGGAACTTCTTAGTAAACTCAGTCACAAAAAGGAAGTTTATAAGAAGTAGAAACTTGGACAGCTTGGGCATGTAGGGATGAAGTCAAGAAGACCAAAGTGCAGTTGGAATTCGAATCATAGAATTGTAGAAAACGAGAGTTGGAAGGGACCTCAGGAGGTCGCATCTAGTCCAACCCCCTGCTCAAAGCAGGACCAGCCCCCAACTACATCATCCCAGACAAGGCTTTGTCTACCCGGGCCTTAGAAACCTACAAGGATGGAGATTCTACCACCTCTTTAAGTAACCTGTTCCACTACTTCACCACCCTACTAGTGAGAGAGTTTTTCCCAATATCCAACCTCAACCACCTTTGCTGCAACTTGAGCCCTTTGCTCCTTGTCCTGCCATCTGCCCCCACTGAGAACAGCCCAGCTCCATCCTCTTTGCAGCCCCCCTGCAGGGAGGTGAAGGTGGCTATTCAGCCCCCCTCAATCTTCTCTTCTGCAGACACAATCAGTCCAGTTTCCTCAGTCTCTCCTCACAAGATATGTCCCCCAACCATTTTCATTGCTCTCTGCTGGACTCTCTCCAGTGTGTCCACATCCTTTCTGGAGTGAGGGTGCAAAACTGGACACAGCACTCCAGAGGTGGTCTCACCAGTGCTGAATAGAGGGGAATAATTACTTCACTTGTTCTGCTGGCAATGCTTCTATTAATGCAAGAGCTGGAGCTAGCAAGGGATGTGAAGGGTAATAAAGGTATCTGCAAGTATGTCAGCAACAAGAGGAGGATCAGGGGAAGTGCGGGTCCTTTACTAAATGGGGGAGGCAACCTAGTGACAGAGGATGCAGAAAAGGCTGAAGTGCTCAGTGCCTTTTTCACCTCAGTCTCCACAGGCAAGGTCAGCTCCCAGATTACTGCACTGGGCAGCACACTTTGGGGAGGTGAGCAGCCAACAGTGGCAAAAGAACAAGTGAGGTACTATTGAGAAAAGCTGGACACACAAAAGTCCATGGGGCTGGATGGGATGCACCTAAGGGTGCTGAGGGAGTTGCTCTATGCGATCGCAGAGCCATTGGCCATCATCTTTGAAAACTCATGGTGATCGGGAGAGGTCCCGGACCATTAGAAAAGGGCAAATATAGTGCCCATCTTAAGAAAGGGAAGGAGTATCCAGGGAACTATAGACTAGTCATCTCAGTCCTGGGAAAAATCATGGAGCGGATCTTTGAAGAATCCATTTCTTAGTACTTGGAGGTGATTAGGAACAGTCAGTATAGATTCACCAAGGGCAAGTCATGCCTGACCAACCTGATTGCATTTTGTAATAAGATGACAGCCTCTGGATGCAGGGAGACCAGTGGGTGTGATATACCTTGACTTTACAAGGCTTTTAATGTGGTCTCCCACAACGTTCTTGCAAGCAAGCTAAGGCTGTACGGGCTGGATGAGGGGACTGTAATGTGGATAGAAAACTGGCTGGATCATCGCATTCAAAGAGTAGTAGTTAATGATTCGATGTCTAGTCAGCAGCTGGTATCAAGTGGAGTGCCCCAGGGGTCAGTCCTGGGGCCGGTTTTGTTCAATATTTTTATCAGTGACCTGGGAGATGGGGTGGAGTGCGCCCTCAAGCAAATGTGCTGATGACACCAAGCTGGGGGAGTAGATATGCAGGAGGGCAGGGTTAAGCTTCAGAGACACCTTGATAGATAGGAGGATTGGACCAAAAGAAATCTCATGAGGTTCAATAAGGACAAGTGCAAAGTCTTGCACTTAAGGGGGAACAATCCCATGCACCGGTACAGGCTGGGGACCAACTGGCTAAGTAGCAGCTCTGCTGAAAAGGACCTGGAGGTGACAGTGGACAAGAAGCTGAACAGGAGCCAGCCGTGTGCTCTTATTGCCAAGGAGGCTAATGACGTCCTGGGCTGCATTGGTAGGAGCGTTACCAGCAGACCAAGAAGTGATTCTTTCCCCTTTATCAGCACTGGGAAGGCCACATCTGGAGTCCTGTGTCCAGTTTTGGGCCCCCCACTACAGAATGGATGTGGACACATTGGAGAGAGTGCAGTGGAGGGCAATGGAAATGGTTAGGGAGCTGGGGGACAGGACTGGTGAGGAGAGGCTGGGGGAACTGGACTGATTTAGTCTGCAGAAGAGAGGATGGAGCTGGACTGTTCTCAGTGGGGGCAGATGACAGGACAAGGAGCAATGGGCTCAAGTTGCAGCCAGGGGAATTGAAGTTAGATAATAAGAAAAACTTTCTCATGAAGAGGGTGGTGAAGCACTGAATCAGGCTCCCCAGAGAAGTGGTGGAGTCTCCATCCTTGGAGGTGTTCAAGACCCGGGTAGACAAAGCCTTGGCTGGAATGATGTAGTTGGGGATGGTCCTGCTTTGAGCAGGGGATTGGACTAGATGTGACCTCCTGAGGTCCCTTCCTACCCTGATTTTCTATGATTCTGTGACTAACCCTGTTGGATGGAGTGTCCTTGCAAGAAGTGAAGCAAGGAAGATGGCCCAGTGGAGGCTTTTAAAGCAGCATATTTTCAGTTAGAAGGACTTGGACCATTTCCCTGTTGTTTTGGACCCCAACAACATTCCTTGGGATTGGGGGAAAGAGAAATTAAGCGCCAGTGACCAAGATGTCCAAAATGATGGCACACCTGCCAGGTCCCACTGTTCTCCATGCTGGGCACTTCTGGAAAACTTCACCTTGTTGTAGAAGTTGTTCCCCATTTCTGTTGGGTAGAAGAGAGCCTCTTTCTCTGAACAGCCCCGTTTGCCTGGAAATGCAGTGGGCTAAAACGGCTCATGGAGAAAGGATGCCTATGTCAATACTTGGGTTGACTTGTAATATGGAGAGGCTGAATCCTGCCTATTATGTTTAGTTTATAATCTCAAGTTTCCCTTTCTCATCTGCATTCCCTAGTTTGTTCAGATGGGTGGCTTGCATTAACATGCTGACTCTTGGAAGTGGTTTTTACTCAGAGCAGTTGTGTTTTTATAACCGAACAGCTGGGTTTACAGTAAGTCCTTCTGAGGTTTTCCTGTCTTGTGGCCAAATTCTTCTTTTCTCCCCTTGCATAAAATGGTGCTAGTTTGGTCAGTTGAAAAGCTGCTTATTTAAGAACTGTCTGTTCTGTTCTCTCTGCATACTGCACTTGAATGCTTTCTTCAGATTGATATTTTTCTCTGGAAGCGTTTACAAGCCAAAAGAAACACACAGTACTTCACTATCTGGTCACCATTTATTCATTTTTCCAAATCTACATTTGTTTGCTGTCAACCTAGATGCTCCCCAAACACCTGCAATTTTCATGCTGATTTTAATTTCACTTTTCATTCATCCCTGGACCACAATCAAACTAATGTGCCATTGTCATGTTTCGTCTGTGCCTGTTCTTGTTGCTTAATTTTGTGTTTTTGGCATACCGATGTTTGTCTTTTGGCAGCTGCAGATGGATTCAAGAGGATTTTTAACTATTTACTGATTGTTGCTGCAAAGATGAGGTGTTCTGTATGGATGCTGAGGACCTGTTTCAACATGTTAACATTTTCTTAATCATGGTTAACATGAAAGTACTGTTTTTTGTGGGCTAATACAAAGCTAGCTATAGAGAGGGGTTGTAGCTGTGACAGTCCAAGGAATATGAGAGAAGCAAGATTTTTTTGACAAGATCTTTTATTGAACTTTTTTTTTGTAGTTGAGAGGACTGATATACAAGGTTTGGGGCACAAAATGTCCTTCCACAGATATGAGAGATTGTCTTAACAGCTCTCTCAAATATAAAGTTTGTTTGACTTCTATGCTGCATTCCCCCAAAAGGCTTACAGTGGCTTACATTGCCAGTTATTAAAAACGCATAAAAAGGTCTTACACCAGTTCCAAAAAAGTTGGTCCAGTAATCTAGAGAGGTGAGCCAGATGACCGTTGGAAATCATAGAAAATTAGGGTTGGTTGGGACCTCAGGAGGTCATCTAGTCCAGGGGTGGGCAATTATTTTGGCTGGAGGGCTGCTTAATGAGTTTTGGTGAGCTGTCAAGGGCTGCAAGGGTAGCTCTGTCCCTTGACAGGTGCCCTGCGCCCTGGTTGTCATCTTAGGACTGGAAGTCCCACACCCGAACCCCTGACCTTTGCCACCAGAAGTCTTTCCCCTTGCCCCTGAAAGTACTGCTTTTGGGAAGGGGGTTTGCCATCTTGGAACTGGAAAAGAAACAAATTATATACTAAAAATCAAACATCCACAACAACACATTTGAATTTTATTTTATAAAAAATGTCCTGATTTTTGCATGTTTGCACTATATATACATAGGTGATTGCATAATAGCTCAAAATAAAGTCTTACTCTTGTATATTGTTGGGGGGAAGTGGGGGGGTATGGGGTTTGTGAGTAGGTGTGGGTGGGTATGGGGTTTGTGGGTAGGTGTGTGTATGTATTGGGTGTGGGAGTATGTGTGGATATGGGTGGGTGGGTATGGGGGGGTTGTGGGGAAGAGTGGGTGTATATGTGGGGTGTGTGGAGGGGAAGGGTGGGTGGGGGGATGTGGGGTGCACCCCCTCCCCCACCCCTGTGTGCGCCCCCACGAACCAGTCAGGACTCGCCCCAGCCCCACAACAGCCTAGCGCCCACATGCCCTGCAGCATGTCCCCACCACGGCCAGCAGCACCCAGCCCTGCCCCGCACCCATTCCGGACTCCCCCTTGCTGGAGCGGACCAGCTGGGACATGTGCGGACAGCCCCGGCTCTCGCTGCACCTACTTTGCACCCCCCGCCTGTGGCACATCCTGCTGCCCCCTGGGCACGCAGCAGGGCTGGGGCTCCTTCGTGGCTGGACTGCCATTCAAGGCAGCTCAGATGGTGGCGGCTCCTTCTGGCTGCTGCTGCCTCTGGCCCCAGCCCCGCAGTACTGGCAGGGACCTGCGTGCACAGTGCCGCCCTGCACATGCTCTGGGTTTGCATGCCCAGGCTCGGCAGTGACGGCAGCAGACAGAAATTTGCTCAGCACGGGTTGAAAAGCAGCCCCTCGCCACCACCAAGCTGTTCTTGCTGCAGCTGTCTGGAGCCCATGCTGGGCTGCCTTGCAGGTGCTATGTGCTGCCACTGCTGCGCCACTGGGCAGCCCAGAGACAGCAGTGATGGCGGCTGCAGCAGGAAGGGCCTGGCAGTGGCAAGGGGGAGGGACCACTTTCCCCCCACGCTGAGCAGCAGTTTCTGTCCATTGCCATTGCTGCTGCTTCTCAGCCTGGGTGGGCGAGTCTGGAGCGGGCACAGGTCAGGGCGGGTTGGGGCTGTGCATGTGGGTCTCTGCCGGTACCAGAGGGCTGGAGCCACCGCTGCCTGGGTTGCCTAGAAAGATAGTTCAGTCGCGGACCTGCCCCAGCCCCGCTGTGTGCCCAGGGGGTGGCAGGACGCACCACTGCTGGATGGTGCCTGGGCCAGGCGGTACCAAGGGACCTACCATGGCCTGGACAAAGCCCCTCCACAGGCCGCATGCGGCCTGTGGGCTGTATTTTACCCACCCCCGATCTAGTCCAACCCCCTGCTCAAAGAAGGATCAGCCCCAACTTGATTATTCCAGTAAGGGCTTTGTCAAGCTGGGCCTTAAAAACCTGCCAGGATGGAGTTTCCACCCTCTCTTTAGGTAACCACCCTCCTTGTGAGAGAGTTTTTCCTAATGTCTAACCTCAACTTCCCTTGCTGCAACTGGAGCCCATTGCTCCTTGTCCTGTCATCTGCCCCACTGAGAACAGTCCAGCTCCATCCTCTCTTCTGCAGACTAACTCAGTCCAGTTCCCTCGGCTTCTCCTCACCAGTCCGGTCCCCCAGCCCCACAACATTTTCATTGCCCTCCGCTGGACTCTCTCCAATGTGTCCACATCTGTTCTGTAGTGGGGGGGCCCAAAACTGGGCACAGGACTGCAGATGTGGCCTTCCCAGTGCTGATAAAGGGGAAAGAATTACTTCTTGGTCTGCTGGCAACGCTCCAGCAATGCAGCCCAGGATGCCGTTAGCCTTGGCAGCAAGGGCACACTGTTGACTTATATCCAGCTTCTTGTTCACCGTCATCCCCAGGTCCTTTTCTGCAGAGCTGTTGCTTAGCCAGTTGGTCCCAGCCTGTCCCGGTGCATGGGATTGTTGTGTCCTAAGTGCAGGACTTTGCACGTGTCCTGTGTGTGTGTGTGTGTAGGTGTGTGTCTGTATCGATGTGTGTTTTTATATAGGCTCTATTAATTCCAAATCGGTGCATCTTCATTTGTAGTGATCTGGCAGTGATCTAACTGTGGTAAAATGCTTGAACCCTGTCTACACGACAGATAAGGGGTTTGACACCTAACGGTGTTTGGTCCATTGGAAATTTATAAGTCAGAAAAATCCTAGTGTGGGCAGAGCTTTTACATATGCAGGTGGACTGGAGATACCCGTCATGTATTATATTATATTTCAAATATAATATTTTCTTTTTGCCTTCTAATAGTGCATTTAGTTCTTAAAAAATATTAAGGAATTATTGGGAGTTAACCTTCATAGTTTGCTGCTTCTTTCCAATATGCAATCCTTTCTGTGCAGGGATGCCATTATTTGCTGACTGCTATCTAAATAGTTTTTCACTGGCATGTTAGTGTCAAGGTCTGTAGTAATCGGGAAACAGCAGGTGCCTCAGTATCACAGGGGTACTGTACTACTAGATAAGCCTGAGCAACTGGGCTTTATTTTACAGGACTCTTTCTCTAAAAATATTAGTAGACTTATAAGAAGTATTTTTAACAGTTTCTTGGATTTGGTTAGATGTGTATGTGCTAGTCTTCTTATCTGAATATCATGTATTTTAATTGAGGCAGCGTGGTCTGTTACATTGCACATAGGACTGGGAGTTAAGAACTCCTGAATACTTTCATTCCTGACACTGACGGAGGTTGAGAGAAAATGTTATGCATAGCACCTTGAAAATGCAAAGTACAAAGCGCTAAGTACTGCATGAACCAGCCGCGATTGTCCTGGAACTTGACTTCGCATCACTGCAAGTGACACTTTCCTCAAGGAATTGGGACAGCTGCAGCGATTGCTCAGTACAGCAGCAGCTGAGAGAGATCTCTGTTGAGAGCAATTTTTAGACTCTCCTTCTCAATGTTTAGACTTGTCACAGAAGTGATAGCTTTCTCCCCTTTGGAAGCTTGTTTTTGCGGCAAACTCCTAACAGCGTAGTCTTTTTCATGAAAGTAACGACTGACTCAGGCTCTCAAAGAGTGGGTCTCTGCTGTGAATCCTTTCTGAAGATGGTTTTCCAGTCCTAAGATTCAACATCAGCATTAGGCTTTTGCTGATGTTCTTCCATTGATAACTAAGGGTCCCTTTTTACCAAGAAGTCTTTCTCGATGCATCAGCATATGACTGGGATCCCAGTCCTATCTCAGTTTTTGTCTCCAGCAGATTACAGCGATCATCTTAAGGAAGCAGTGGCATAAGGCCAGCAGGTAAAATGTGGTCTTGCAGTCCTCTTCTGCGTTCCTCTGGAGGTGCTGCTTGCAGAAAGAGGAGATCCCTGACTGCCATGTGATTTATCAAACTTTAGCCCTGCGTGATGGGAGCCACTAGTATCTTAGGGCTGCTGATCTGTTTTTAAAAAAGACAGGCATCTACAATTTGCTTTGTGTTATGCCGATCCAATGTGGCTCTTAAGGCGTCTGACAAGTTGCCAGTCTGGTTCTGTTGTCCAGGGCACCAAATGTTCCAGTTGAAACAGCCATTGCCAAATATTTTGAGGCAAAGGAAGCAAGTACTAGCTTAGAAAGGGGGAAAAAAAGGGAGGTAGTTCAAGTGAAACCTTAACAGATTATGTTTATAGCTCAGTCCAGATGCCTGGTAGTAACACTGAAGAGCTGTAAGTAGATGGGACAGCGAAAGGACCAGAGGGTGAGGTTATCTTAAAACCTGTGTAACATCATTTCCTTGTGAAGCCATTTGTGACATAGATGTGTAGCAGGTACAACTAGGTACAATTTAGGTGAAAGCCAGGACTTGCCAAGCGGCTTTATCCTGTTACTAGGTCAGGGCTTTTTTACATGATGACCTTGAACTATATTCCCTGATGGTCATGGGTATTGAGTAGAGAGGTTTACTCCTGCCACACTAAAACCATTGATTTTAAAGACAGTCTGATGAGGCCTGCTTTTATTTTGTTCTCCATGTAACCTCAAAGTCTGTTCTCTATTTTTCTCTCTAAAATCCAGGAAGCAAAAATGGTGTCTGTTGGGAGTGATGGAGACGCAAGTGTTTTGTGTTTTATGGGTAACTTTTCTGTAACTCCTTGAGAACCTTACTGGATGTTTGCATGTTTCAGGCAACAGCGGAACAGATTCGCCTTGCTCAGATGATCTATGATAAGAACGATGCAGATTTTGAAGATAAAGTGAAACAAGTATGTTGTTCGTGTTACTGCTGTGGCACATTGGTTTTATATGACATTTTATTCTAGTCCTTGATGCCTGTGTTTTGCTCTAGCTTTTGACAGCTTCAGACAAATTGCTCCCTCCTCAAACTGTATCCTTCAGTCTTCTACCCATCCCTTTAAGTCCGGTGTGTGTGGGAAGAGAGTGGGAGAAAAGGCCTTGCAGTGTTCCTGCTGGAGAAGCAAATTCCAGAACACAGGATCCCACCTGGAGAATGCTTTACCCAGTAATCTCCCATTTTAAACGAACCCAAGTGCATCTGCTGATCACAGCTATGGCTGTATTGACAAGGGGGTGGGGAAGAGGGGTGGTCTTCCAGGTGGACACATTTTGGAAGGTATGGGGTCTTGTTAATTGGAGCCAGCCCTTGCAACTTCACTCAGAAGGGAAAGCACCTGCTCATGCAGATTTTGGAGCACGACGTCACAGCCTGCTATGTTAGCAGATAGGTGCCATTTGCACAAGTGTCTAGATGCTCCAAAGCTATAGCACTGTGTAGCCTAATCTGAATGCAGCAAACTCATTTCAAAAGAAACATTCACATTGCACATGGGTAAAACAGTGTTCTGACCTGCATCTAGAGCAGTCCACATACAGCAAGCCATTCAGACTGCAGAACCCTGCGAGGAATCCCAGCCCTAGCCAGATTTTCCTGGACGCTTGTCCTGTTCTGCCATTGCTTTGCTGAAATTGTCAGGGTTAAGCCTCAGGGCTTGTCAACGTATGAACATTTACCAACTTAATTCTGCTTCTGGAGTCACCCTAGTATAACTCCTCATATGAACACTCATACATTTGGACTAAAAGTGGCTATTTCTGGTTTGGTTTAAACCATTACTAAAGTGACATCACCTAGAGCAGAAAAAGGCACTCTTACACCATGAAGAGGGTATCTGACATAATGCTAGCAGTATACTTTATGCTGACAGATTTCCCTATATAGATCATCTTTTAGCCAGCAAACCCAGGTTCACACCCTGGTCTTCTAAGATATGGTGTTCCTTCATTGAGTTGCTAGTACTTCATAATCCGTAGGATAAAGAATGTATTCAGCTTCTCTGCATATGCACTCATAGGAAGCATTTATCACCTGTGTAAACCAAGTTTGCTAATACCTTGGCTGCTTTTCAGGAAAAGTGCAAGTTTAAACAGCTTAAAGGTGAACTGAAGCTTTATTTAAAAAAAAAAAAAAAAAAAAAAAAAAAAAAAAAGCCAACAACCCTGAGCTCCTAGGTCATTAAGACCATGCCTAGGCTTAATGCTACAAATCACTGCATTATGAAAGCAAGCTGCTTCGCATGAGTTCCTTTCTTACATCCATGCCAAGATTTTGGGCGCACGTACTTAGCCTTCTGATTATCCAGATATAGCTGATAACATAGCTGACATCCAAGGCAGAACTGTGAGCTGAATTCTTTACACTGCTGGGGCTGTTTGTGATGTTATCACTAGCTCCAGTGTGTTGCTTTTGGGGTTACCCTTCAAGTGCAGACAGTAGCCTTCAGTCGGGGCCGAATGTAGCAGTCCACCTCCTTGGAGGGGTGGGTCAGAGTGAATGTTTTATATCTGTTCCCTTGCTTTCAGGGCCATTTCTTAGTTTTCATTTATGAAGACCAGTTTGTCTGTATAAATGAAATTCTTTCCCTTTCCTGCATTCTTTCCCTTTCCTGATTTCTGCTTTGTAATAACTGAGCTTAGTGGTCAAAGCAATGGATGAGTGTGGGTCAGAATCTGTGTTCCCCTGTAAGGTTATATAATGCATCCGTTTAGCTTATGTGAATCTTTTGGATGAAGAAAGAAATAGGATTTCAAAGCTCTGCATAGGGAGGTCTGTATCGCCTACCTGTATGGTAACTTTTGGATACGTGATAGTCCTGGTACATTTGCTTGTAAATTTCAAACTTAATAAAAATCAGAGAAATCCAGAAATGTGAGCTCAGATCTTGGCAAATGTCAAGTTTTTTAGGTCACCAGTTAGGAGCTTGTGTTTTTGTCCTAATGGATATAAAATTGAGGTGACTTTTAGGGGTCAAACAGTTTTAACTGAAATGCTGTGTTTAAGGCATATATGCTTTAATCTCTGATAGAGAAGCTGCTTGCTTGCTTTCTGGATATTTGCAGTTGCACTAATTCTTGCCTGTTTTCATCTAACAATGACTTTGAACATGTCTGCACTTTTTTTTTTTTTTTTTACCAGCTGATGGAAGTGACGGGGAAGAACCAGGATGAGTGCATAGTGGCACTACATGATTGTAATGGGGATGTGAACAGAGCAATCAACATCTTGCTGGAAGGAAGCTCAGACACAGTAAGGATTTGTCTGTGAATGAAATTTGCTTACTTCTGTTTTGGTCCTTGCCCCACTTTTCGGGAGTGGGCTGGTGGTAAGCTCAAGCACTTGATCTCAAGAGCCTGTGCTCGCTCTCTTCTCTCCCTCCAGTGCCCCTTCAAAGAAAAATGAAGGCATACACACATGCCTTGGAAATCAAATTAAGCTTTAAAAATGTTATCCTGTTGCTTTCTTGCTGAGTTGTGCATGTAACACTTCCATTCCTCTACTGCATTTGGTAGCTGATGACAAATTCAGTCCTACTTTGTGCTGCTTTGTCTATAGTCGGTGTGGAGTCTCTCAGGCCCATGAAGATGATCCAGGGTAAGAAATGTTGTTTTTACCTTGGCTGATCAAGTTTCATTAGCAAGGGATAAATTGTATATCTCCATAGATCCATATTGTACCTTGCAGGTTTAAAATTAAGATAAGGTCCCTGTCCCAAGGAGTTTATCAAAACTCTGATAATGCCACAGCAGGACATGGCAGATAGCTCACTGCTCATTTAATTAATATGCTCATGAGAATGGACCCTCCCTTCCTACAGAAGAAAGCACGGGCATCTTTAAACCTATATTTAATATATGGTATTGCTGTGGTTGAAGTGGTTTCTGGGAAGCTGTTTCATAAATTTTATAAACTTTATATAACACGGGACAGTCTACTCCTCATCTCCACTTACTGAAGAAGGAAACTTGGACTTCACTTACTTTCTAAACCCAAATCCATTCCTTTATCCCCTGAGCTTTATCAGTGCTAAGACGTATGAGGCTGCTGAGTGCAGAAGTTTTCTAGCTTCAATATCTGAAGTACAGGGAGCATCACAGATCGCGATCCTTTTCTAGTTCAAAGGAAATTCTTAAGCAGATCACTGGTCTTACTCTGTCTGCGTTTTTGCTTTAAGAGTGGAGATCCTCTGAAGCAGAGGTGCGCTTGCTGCACAAATGGTGGGTTAAATCAGTTCCAGCACAAATCAGCTCTCCTTGAATAAGTTTCTTGGGTATCTATCTTATTTATATTTTTTAGCAGTCTTAGTGTTCAAGTCGAAAATACTTCCCTTGATAATACAAATAGATTTGACTATTTGTATTAAGTTATTAATTATTAACACATTATTTCCTTGTTAGTGAATTGTCCTTACTAATTTGAGAAACTGTCTGAGCTGGTTGTCTGCAAGTTAGAAACAGTATAACTGGCACTCTGATTACTCAGCAGAGCCCTTTCATCATTGGGAAGCCTCTCCAAAGGTCATTTACCATGGTGGGAAAGCAGACCAGTGATGGGTGAAGTGCGAGCTTTTCTCATGTATCACTGAGCAGTGCTCTGAAGTCTTTTGCTGAAAGACATTACAGGATGTCGGGCATTGTCAAGCAGTTCTAATTTTCTATATGTTCTACATGTATTTGTAGAATTACAGTGCTTTAGAGGCTTGAAGTCAAGAAAGCAGAAAAAGGAAAAAGGAGGAAAAACATGAGGTTTCTATATCATGGGAAAGTGGTGAAATACTTTTTCTAATGGTGGTGTTGCTCAGTTTTTTTCTGGGAGGATTTTGGGCTGTCAGATGCTAAGATGGGCACCCCGTTGGGCCAACCTACCCTATCTCGGTTTTGAGCTCTGACATGCTGGTGGCAGTGGTACCGATTGTGAGAGGTGACGTCTAGTGCTAAGATTGCTGCTCATCCCCTATTCTGCAGCTTAACCTTGGTTCTTTTTTCTACTGTGTTTTTTGCTTGTGGGGAGAGAGAATTAAAAGGAAATACTCAATATGGCCGAGATGGCAGCAAAGCAAGAGAAAATGGTTCACAGTTCTGTTGGTAGTCCTTTCAGCATTGTCGGTAAACCTCTTTGCTTTCTGAGTCTTGAGCCTACATACAGTGTGGGAGACGTCTGGGACTGTTTTATTGGCGTTCCCCACCTCCAGCAGTTTTGATGATCTATTCTGGGGGCATTGAAGCCTGTAGAGAAAGTGGGGCATACTTCTGCATGCCGAACTGTTTAGTTGAGTGTATTACTTTCATCAGCCCCTCTCTCTCTCTCTCTCATGCCTGACTAGTTGCTTTATTGGCTACAGTGTGAGTGGGTCCTTCAAACTATCCATCCTCCCACCTAAGATATGACCAGCAATTTCATCAAAGAAGGCCGTGGTTGTTACACTTTTTCAAGGTCAGGCATGCAGCTGCTTTGGACAGTGTCAGTTGAAAACTTTGGTTACTTAGCTGACTGCGGTTGGCAATGATGTGTTTTGTCACTGGCTCGCCTCCTCTGAAATCTCTCCTGCCAATGGGAAACGTAAATGTCTGCTTTGGAGGACATTCCTGGAGAAAGTCAGGTTTCCGTCCTTGCTGATTTGCCTCGATACCGCTAAATAGCTTAATGAATCCCCCTCGCCCCAGTAGTTATCTGAAAAGCTTTTTATTTGTGGAGATCAAGGGCCTGATGTATCCATCGCTCTATACTTATTGCTTAACCCTCAGCGACACTTGGGCAGCTGCTTTAGGAATTATTTTCCCCCCCTAGTAGAGACTTCACCAGAATTGGTGAAAAGAAAGTGAGGATCGGTTTCTTTTTAAGTCGACTCTGCAGTAGCCCCCGTTTCTAGGACCATATCTCTTTTTCCCTGCTTGGGGGACATCACTTGCTAGGGCTCCATAGAAAGAATGGAAAGCCACCTTCCAAAGCAACGTCCAGCCTGTCTTGAGAGCAAAACCAAGAGCACTGCTCAGAGAAAAGCCTTGCGTGGCCCTGCCTGCTCCTTGACACACTGGTTTGAGATGGGGTATGCAAGGTGGAGACGTGTACCTGACTGGCTCTAACCTGAGCCTGCCCCACTGCCTAATTTTGTGACTCTGGAGGTGATAAAGAAATAATCTAAAGGGCCCTGAGAGTTTGTCATGAACTAATTTCTTGTCACTCATGTACATATCTTCTGTCTTGGCACCCTAATGGCAACACTTTTTGAGACCCAGCCCATTTTAATTAAACGCTTAAGGACTAATTCTTGGGTTCTCTGCATTTTCTTGGTGATGCATTTAAAACTCTTTGAGGATTTCAGCATCTAACATCTTTTCGTCTTGCCGTTGCACTTGCAACCCTATGGCAATTCTCCAGCATTGGGTGGGGATCAAGTTTTGCACTGTGTATGAACTAATATCCCGTACATACCATGTGATATCCTGTTTGAGCAACTCTGAATCCAGGTTCTTGCTGTGCTTCACCTAAATTGGCTCTGTAGTATGTCAGACTTTTTCATCCATGGCTAAATTGAGTTGTACTTCCCACCTAACACACTTTTTTTGCACATGCTGCTCAGGAGAGAGAGGGCAGGACCTGAGTTACTGGCAGCCAAACTTTGCCTTTGTTGTGTTTGGTGGAAGTGCATGTGTTGAGATTACTTCTATCCAAAATCCAGATAGCTGTTGCTGTTAACTTTGCTTTCATGCGTAAATTCCCTGCCTGTTCATATATCGTCTGTCTAGACTGGATGCTGTTAGAGGCAAGGGACTATATTCTCTCAAGTAGGTAAAGTGCCAAGCACGTTAATACTGTGCTAATAATAATTATTTTCTTCCCTTTAACTATGGCATAATGGCCTAATTAGACAATTGCAGAAAGTATTATCCATTGCCATACTCTCCTGAACAGATTCTGTTAGTTGTTTCCTTTTCAACTCCTACAAACGTTGCATAAGGCCTGATGCAAATCCTGTGTGTATGCTAATGACCTTTTTAGTTTAAAAGCAGAGGTGTGATATTCAGGCTTTGATCTCTTGTCTTCCTTGGATTTTCCTTGGACTGCCTGCTCGTGCCCATTGATCTTTCGCTCCCTTGTCGGGGCCAGACAGGCATGGGCGAACCAGGCGGCTGCCCGGGGCCCAGACAGAAAGGGGGCCCCAAAGTCGTGAAGTTAATGACAGTGATGATGATGATTATTATTATTATCATCCTCTCTGATGAAGGGGGGCCTGATGCTAACAGTTTGCCCGGGGCTGCCAAGAGTTTAGGTACGGTGCTGTCCCGTGTGTGTGTGTGTACACGTTCATTCTCCCCTGCTCTATTCGAGGGAGGTTCAGCACTATGCTCGCTTCTCAGGCAGACTTACAGAAACTGTTGACAGAACAGTCTGCTTCTTGGCAGGTCGTTTTTTTTTAAAAAAAAACAATGTTGTGTAAACAGGTTTATTTAAAGCAGCTTTACAGCCACCAGGATTTGAGATGCCAAATGTATCTGCTACCTGTTTTTTCATGGGAAGCCACTCTTGACAAAAGCAATAGACCCTAATTCTCCCCTCAAGGTGCAGTTGATTTGGCATTCTCCTTCTTGCCTGGTACTTTACCATCTTTAAAGCCTTGTGGAATTGTGAAAATATCCATTTGTCTACAAACTGGGGGGTTGGGGTAGAGACTTTTGCAGAGCAGTCCCTGCTCGTTGCTTCTTCACCTGTGGTGTCTAATGCTTTTCTCCAAAATAGACTTCCTGGGAGACCGTCGGGGGCAAGAAGAAAAGCCTTGGAAAGGAAAGTTCAGAAAACAAAGAAAACAGAGAAAAACGTGGGGACAGAGAAGTGAGCCGTGGACGGGGAAGCTCCAACAGGCGAGGAAGAGGCGGCAGCCGTGGCCGAGAGTGTAAGCACAGACGCTTTGATTTTAAACACTCCGCTTGCTTTTTCTTTTCCTTCTAGCTGAAATTCTCTCAGCTCAGCTCAGAGAGGATTTAATGGGAGCAAGTCGGCAGAGCATCAGCACGACTGACTTATCACTACGTTTATTTTTTAGGCTGCAAATGTGTTCGGTGCTGCTACGTGTCTTGGTTTTAGGGCATTCTATTTTTGGTTTCTTTCACAGGCAAATTGAATGCATTTAAACCCTTTCTGCCTCTTTTTGATTTCTTGATCCTTTGTGAGTTGCTGTTTGGCAATTGGGTTTGGAATGGAGCCTTTGTAAGACTGTGTTAATAGAGCAGATACGTCACTATGGAGCTGATGCATTTTCTGTATGTTCTTTTTAATGAAAAAATACCCAATTTTTACTCCCACTTGGGAGAGTGGGAGTGCTTGAGGGTGGTATGCATTTTGTGGCATATTTTACCCCCTAAGGGAAAATGAAAAGGCCATGATATATCCTAGGGTTTTATTATGAGTGCACACTTGCACAAAAGATGAGCTTCTCCATAAATAGAAAGGGTTCCTTGTGAACTTAACATCATTGAAATGGCCATCGTGTATTCCAGGGGAGGAATCCAAATATTTTTTAATGTAAGAGGACTAACTTACTGCCAACAGTGTTTCTACTGCTTAGATGGTAATTAATTAGGCCACCATTGTGTTATATGTCCCCCATGATCTCTGACCCATTTCTTAAATTGCTCATAGTCCCTGTGTTTAATGGAGGGATGCCAAACTCACTTGGGCCCCCCACGCCGGATCTGGTCTGCCGGGCTCCCCACTGGCTGGACCTGGATTTGCCTCCGGCAGTAGAGGTTACTGGTGTCACGGAGCTGCTGGGGTTAATGAAATGGGGCTGCTGAAATGTCCCCAACTGGGCTCTGCACCCCAGATTTTGGTAGCGGGTCCTGCCCCTGAGTTCCTGGTTCCTCCTGGAGTCCCTTGGACTGGATGACATCCTTGCCCCCTTGGTTTTGTTAGGAGCTGCTTAGACAATAAGGTGAGGTGTAAGAACCCGTGGGGAGGAAGCAAGTAGCCAGATGCTGGTTCATCACTAAACAGCAAGATGATAGAAGGTAAATATTAATGAGATTGTTCTACGTGCAGTTGGCAAACAGGGTAATATCAGTCACCAAAACAAAGTGCAGCTCAGAATTTGTTCTGCCAGAGGCAGATGTTTGTTGGCCATCAGATTTTAGCCTCTGTTCTGAAACTGGAATTGGGGATTTTGAGATGAGGTCTAGGTTCTGAGACATGCTCTCCCCACCCACCCCTACATGTGCCTAGGTCGGGTCTCGGTTGCAATTCTGTGAATCCAAGTTATGCAGTGCACAGCTTCACTTGAGCAGTAGCAAATGTTAGGACAAATGCTGAAAGTTGTTGTTTTTCTTTAGGGAGCCGTTCCTTTGGATTGCAGCTGGCTTTTCAGCGCATCCAGCCAGAGGTTTTTCACAAAACATATAGAGCTTTTCTCAAAGTCTGTTTGACAGATGTTAAATATAAAGGCTCTGTGGGTGTTCGGTGCAAAAGCAGTACAAGAAAGGAGCCTTTGCCTACCCTTGTGTCTCTTGGTTCTTTTATAGGGACCAACCATAATGTGAACAGTAGAGGCACAGCTCAAACCGTAGTGCCTGTGTCCAAAGAAAGGCAAAGCCATGGATTTATCCTTTATCTAGTCAGCAGTGTGTGGGGAAGGGTTGCATGGGTCTGGCTGGCTCAGAATTAATTACTCCTGGGGCTTCTGCTACAACAGGAACTCACCTGTCTGCCACTTCACCCAATGCAGGGCTCTAGTCTAAAATCTTCCAACTTGGGTGCCCAAAGTTAGCGCCCAAATCCAAGTGTAAGATACTTCCATAGTGTCCTTGTGTGGCAGCTCACTTCCGTTGTCTGGAGCAATTTAGTTTCCTTTTTAGATATTCAAGTTAGAAACTGTTAGCTACACAAACCGGTACTCTCCCTTCTCTCCAAAACCTACAAAACAAGGTTTTCAAAATAGTCAGTGGTGCAGAGGAAATAAATAGGGACTTATTGTTTACTACCTGTCGCAGTACTAGAACTAAGGGAAATAAAATTAAACTATTAGGTAGTAGGTTTAAAACTAACAAGAGGAAGAGTGTCTCTCTTCCTCCCCC